GCATCGCTTCATAAAAAACACGTTAAAGCGCTAGACATTTCGATAACGTACGGCAAAAAAACCGGTAACCGTTATTTAACCGGGGTTCTTGTTCCTTACGCGTTGGCGGTGAACGCAACGACAAAGCCCCCCCCCCCGCGCCCCCCGCGATAAACAAATCTGGACGATCTTCTTGGTTCTTTCGGTAAAGTCACGTAGAAGGGAAGTAAGAAAATAATAAACATAAAACCAGGTCTGTCTAGGCGACAGCGTCTGAATGACGCTGTCGCCTCGACAGACCTGGTTTTCACCTGAGGACGGCTGCTTGCGTTGTGGCCGAAACGTCGTGAGAATTATTTTATTATGTTTTATTTTAATTATTTTATTACTTCCCTTCTACGTGACTTTTTCCGAAAGAACCAAGAAGATGAATCCCTGCAGTCACGAAAGCTTTAAATCGAAATCTGGACGATGTTGACAACCAGACTGGGAATGGAGTGGCATCCAGTCGATGAAAAGAGTCGTAGAGGACAACCACCGTGGAGATGGAGCGATGGAATTCAGCTCTTGTACAACAAGACTCTGGGTGGATGTGGTGGAGGTGGAGGAATGGAATTCAGCTCTTGTGCAACAAGACTCTGGGTGGATGTGATGGAGGTGGAGCGATGGAATCCAGCTCTTGTGCAACAAGACTCTGGGTGGATGTGGTGGAGGTGGAACGATGAATTAAGCTCTTGTACAACAAGACTCTGGGTGGATGTGTTGGAGGTGGAACGATGTAATTCAGCTCTTGTGCCACAAGACTCTGGGTGGATGTGAAGGAGACGGAGCGATGGAATTCAGCTCTTGTGCAACAAGACTCTGGGTGGATGTGGTGGAGGTGGAACGATGAATTAAGCTCTTGTACAACAAGACTCTGGGTGGATGTGTTGGAGGTGGAACGATGTAATTCAGCTCTTGTGCCACAAGACTCTGGGTGGATGTGAAGGAGACGGAGCGATGGAATTCAGCTCTTGTGCAACAAGACTCTGGGTGGATGTGATGGAGGTGGAGCGATGTAATTCAGCTCTTGTACAACAAGACTCTGGGTGGATGTGATGGAGGTGGAGCGATGTAATTCAGCTCTTGTGCAACAAGACTCTGGGTGGATGTGATGGAGGTGGAGCGATGTAATTCAGCTCTTGTACAACAAGACTCTGGGTGGATGTGATGGAGGTGGAGCGATGTAATTCAGCTCTTGTACAACAAGACTCTGGGTGGATGTGATGGAGGTGGAGCGATGTATTTCAGCTCTTGTGCAACAAGATTCTGGGTGGATGTGATGGAGGTGGAGCGATGTAATTCAGCTCTTGTGCAACAAGACTCTGGGTGGATGTGGTGGAGGTGGAGCGATGTGATTCAGCTCTTCTACAACAAGACTCTGGGTGGATGTGGTGGAGGTGGAGGGATGGAATTCAGCTCTTGTACAACAAGACTCTGGGTGGATGTGGTGGAGGTGGAACGATGAATTCAGCTCTTGTACAACAAGACTCTGGGTGGATGTGGTGGAGGTGGAGCGATGGAATCCAGCTCTTGTACAACAAGACTGGGTGGATGTGATGGAGGTGGAGGAATGGAATTCAGCTCTTGTACAACAAGACTCTGGGTGGATGTGATGGAGGTGGAACGATGAATTAAGCTCTTGTACAACAAGACTCTGGGTGGATGTGTTGGAGGTGGAACGATGTAATTCAGCTCTTGTGCCACAAGACTCTGGGTGGATGTGATGGAGAGATGGAATTCAGCTCTTGTACAACAAGACTCTGGGTGGATGTGGTGGATGTGGAGGGATGGAATCCAGCTCTTGTACAACAAGACTCTGGGTGGATGTGGTGGAGGTGGAGGAATGGAATTCAGCTCTTGTGCCACAAGACTCTGGGTGGATGTGGTGGAGGTGGAGGGATGGAATTCAGCTCTTGTACAACAAGACTCTGGGTGGATGTGATGGAGGTGGAACGATGTAATTCAGCTCTTGTACAACAAGACTCATGGTGGATGTGGTGGAGGTGGAGGGATGTAATTCAGCTCTTGTGCAACAAGACTCTGGGTGGATGTGGTGGAGGTGGAACGATGTAATTCAGCTCTTGTGCCACAAGACTCTGGGTGGATGTGATGGAGGTGGAACGATGTAATTCAGCTCTTGTGCAACAAGACTCTGGGTGGATGTGGTGGAGGTGGAGCGATGGGATTCAGCTCTTGTGCAACAAGACTCTGGGTGGATGTGATGGAGGTGGAACGATGGATTCAGCTCTTGTGCAACAAGACTCTGGGTGGATGTGGTGGAGGTGGAGCGATGGAATTCAGCTCTTGTACAACAAGACTCTGGGTGGATGTGGTGGATGTGGAGGGATGTAATTCAGCTCTTGTACAACAAGACTCTGGGTGGATGTGATGGAGGTGGAGCGATGGAATTCAGCTCTTGTACAACAAGACTCTGGGTGGATGTGATGGAGGTGGAGCGATGTAATTCAGCTCTTGTACAACAAGACTCTGGGTGGATGTGGTGGAGATGGAGCGATGTAATTCAGCTCTTGTACAACAAGACTCTGGGTGGATGTGGTGGAGGTGGAACGATGAATTCAGCTCTTGTACAACAAGACTCTGGTTGGATGTGATGGAGGTGGAGCGATGGAATCCAGATCTTGTACAACAAGACGCTGGGTGGATGTGAAGGAGACGGAGCGATGGAATTAAGCTCTTGTACAACAAGACTCTGGGTGGACGTGATGGAGGTGGAGGAATGGAATTCAGCTCTTGTGCAACAAGACTCTGGGTGGATGTGATGGAGGTGGAACGATGTAATTCAGCTCTTGTGCAACAAGACTCTGGGTGGATGTGGTGGAGGTGGAGCGATGGGATTCAGCTCTTGTGCAACAAGACTCTGGGTGGATGTGATGGAGGTGGAACGATGGATTCAGCTCTTGTGCAACAAGACTCTGGGTGGATGTGGTGGAGGTGGAGCGATGGAATTCAGCTCTTGTACAACAAGACTCTGGGTGGATGTGGTGGATGTGGAGGGATGTAATTCAGCTCTTGTACAACAAGACTCTGGGTGGATGTGATGGAGGTGGAGCGATGGAATTCAGCTCTTGTACAACAAGACTCTGGGTGGATGTGATGGAGGTGGAGCGATGTAATTCAGCTCTTGTACAACAAGACTCTGGGTGGATGTGGTGGAGATGGAGCGATGTAATTCAGCTCTTGTACAACAAGACTCTGGGTGGATGTGGTGGAGGTGGAACGATGAATTCAGCTCTTGTACAACAAGACTCTGGTTGGATGTGATGGAGGTGGAGCGATGGAATCCAGCTCTTGTACAACAAGACGCTGGGTGGATGTGAAGGAGACGGAGCGATGGAATTAAGCTCTTGTACAACAAGACTCTGGGTGGACGTGATGGAGGTGGAGGAATGGAATTCAGCTCTTGTGCAACAAGACTCTGGGTGGATGTGGTGGAGGTGGAAGAATGGAATTCAGCTCTTGGACAACAAGACTCTGGGTGGATGTGATGGAGGTGAAGGGATGTAATTCAGCTCTTGTGCAACAAGACTCTGGGTGGATGTGATGGAGGTGGAGGAATGGAATTCAGCTCTTGGACAACAAGACTCTGGGTGGATGTGGTGGAGGTGAAGGGATGTAATTCAGCTCTTGTGCAACAAGACTCTGGGTGGATGTGGTGGAGGTGGAGGGATGTAATTCAGCTCTTGTACAACAAGACTCTGGGTGGATGTGATTGAGGTGGAGCGATGTAATTCAGCTCTTGTGCAACAAGATTCTGGGTGGATGTGATGGAGGTGGAGCGATGTAATTCAGCTCTTGTGCCACAAGACTCTGGGTGGATGTGGTGGAGGTAGAGCGATGGAATCCAGCTCTTGTACAACAAGACTCTGGGTGGACGTGATGGAGGTGGAGGAATGGAATTCAGCTCTTGTGCAACAAGACTCTGGGTGGATGTGGTGGGGGTGGAGGGATGGAATTCAGCTCTTGTACAACAAGACTCTGGGTGGATGTGGTGGGGGTGGAGGGATGGAATTCAGCTCTTGTACAACAAGACTCTGGGTGGATGTGGTGGAGGTGGAACGATGAATTCAGCTCTTGTACAACAAGACTCTGGGTGGATGTGGTGGAGGTGGAGAGATGGAATTCAGCTCTTGTGCAACAAGACTCTGGGTGGATGTGGTGGAGGTAGAGCGATGTAATTCAGCTCTTGTACAACAAGACTCTGGGTGGATGTGATGGAGGGATGTAATTCAGCTCTTGTACAACAAGACTCTGGGTGGATGCAATGGAGGTGAAGGGATGTAATTCAGCTCTTGTGCAACAAGACTCTGGGTGGATGTGATGGAGATGGAGGGATGGAATTCAGCTCTTGTGTCACAAAATCTACCGTGGGGATTGTAACAAAGTTTTCAACCACTCTGGAGACGGAGCGATGGAATTCAGCTCGCGTGCCCGGGGTGCAGGATTGACTTTAACTTTCACGGAATCCGTGAGAGGCATTTATTTTAAATTATCCAGCAGCGAATTTAACCGTGGCTGGCAATTTCCAGCTGATGATGATGATGATTTTGTTGAAGAAACGATGATGATGTTGATGTGGTTGAGGAAAATGATGATGATTATGTGGTTGATGAAAATGATGATGATTATGTGGTTGATGAAAATGATGATGATGATGAAAACGATGATGATGATTATGTGGTTGATGAAGACGATGATGATATGGTTGATGAAAATGATGATGATGTTTTTGATGAAAACGATGATGATGATGTGGTTGATGAAGACGATGATGATGTTGATGTGGTTGATGAAAATGATGATGATTAAAATGATGTTGATATGGTTTATGAAAATTATAATGATGTTTTTGATGAAAATTATGATGATTACGTGGTTGATGAAAACCATAATGTTACTAATGATGTCGATGATGTGAAAGGAAATGGGGTGGGTGGGAGAGGGGGGGGGGTTTCCCTTACCTGAGATCTGAGAGAATTCACGACCTCCACTCGCCCTCGCCTCCCGAGAAGAAGACGCGGATGAGAGTTGCGAAGCCTCCTCCTGCTGATGCCTCCTCCTGGTTCCTCCTCCTGCTGATGCCTCCTCCACCTCCGAGAGCCCCTCCCGCAGCTCTCCCACAGCACCAACCACAGACGGCCAGGGAGGGGCGACAGCGGGGGGGCAGCGGGGGGGGGGGGGTAGTGGTGGGGTTAGTGGTGGGGTTAGTGGTAGTGGTAGTAGTAGTGGTGGTAGTAGTGGTGGGGGTAGTGGTGGTGGTAGTAGTGGTATTGGGGTTAGTGGTGGTGGTAGTAGTAGTGGTGGTAGTGGTGGTGGGGGTAGTGGTGGTGGTAGTAGTGGTGGTGGTAGTAGTGGTAGTGGTGGTGGTGGTAGTGGTGGGGGTGATGGTGGAAGTGGTGGTGGGGGTAGTGGTGGTGTAGTAGTGGTGGTGGTAGGGGTAGTGGTGGTAGTGGTGGGGGTAGTGGTGGTGGTAGTAGTGGTGGTAGTAGTGGTGGTAGTGGTGGGGGTAGTGGTGGTGGTGGTAGTGGTGGTGGTGGTAGTGGAGGTGGGGGTAGTGGTGGTGGTAGTGGTGGTATTGGGGTTAGTGGTGGTGGTGGTGGTAGTAGTGGTAGTAGTGGTGGTGTTAGTAGTGGTGGTGGTGGTAGTGGTGGTGGTAGTGGTAGTGGTGGGGGTGATGGTGGAAGTGGTGGTGGGGGTAGTGGTGGTGGTAGTAGTGGTGGTGGTGGTGGTAGGGGTAGTGGTGGTAGTGGTGGTGGTAGTAGTAGTGGTAGTAGTGGTGGTAGTAGTGGTGGTGGTGGTGGGGGTAGTGGTGGTAGTGGTGGTGGTAGTAGTGGAGGTGGGGGTAGTGGTGGTGGTAGTGGTGGTATTGGGGTTAGTGGTGGTGGTGGTGGTAGTAGTGGTGGTGTTAGTAGTGGTGGTGGTGGTAGTGGTGGTGGTAGTGGTGGTGGTAGTGGTGGGGGTGATGGTGGAAGTGGTGGTGGGGGTAGTGGTGGTGGTAGTAGTGGTGGTGGTGGTGGTAGGGGTAGTGGTGGTAGTGGGGGGGATAGTGGTGGTGGTAGTAGTGGTGGTAGTAGTGGTGGTAGTAGTGGTGGTGGTGGTGGGGGTAGTGGTGGTGGTGGTAGTGGTGGTGGTAGTAGTGCAGGTGGGGGTAGTGGTGGTGGTAGTGGTGGTATTGGGGTTAGTGGTGGTGGTGGTAGTAGTGGTAGTAGTGGTGGTGTTAGTAGTGGTGGTGGTGGTAGTGGTGGTGGTAGTGGTGGTGGTAGTGCTGGTAGTGGTGGTGGTAGCGGTGGTGGTAGTGGTAGTGTTGGTGGTGGTGGCAGTGGTAGTGGTGGTGGTAGTGGTGGTGGTAGTGGTGGTGGTGTTAGTGGTGGTGGTGGTAGTGGTGGTGGGGGTAGTGGTGGTGGTGATTGTAGTGGTGGTAGTGGTGGTGATGGTAGTGGTGGTGGTGGTAGTGATGGTAGTGGTGGTGGTAGTGGTGGTGAGTCCAGTTTACCCTGGGAGTCCAGTTCACCATGGGAGCCAGTTTACCATGGCAGTCCAGTTTACCATGGAACTCTGGTTTACCATGGGAGCCCAGTTACCATGGGAGCCCAGTTACCATGGGCAACCTGCATTGCTCCGGGGCCGGAATGTGGCACACACCACACCACACTACACCACGCCACACCACGCCACACCACAACACACCACACTACACCACGCCACACCACACCACGCTACACACACAGAGACCCATAGACTCACACAGAGACCCATAGACTCACACAGAGTCCCATAGACTTACACAGAGTCCCATAGACTTACACAGAGTCCCATAGACTTACACAGAGACCCAAAGAGTCAGAGTCCCATAGACTCACACAGAGGCCCATAGACTCACACAGAGACACATAGACTCACACAGAGACCCATAGACTCACACAGAGACCCATAGACTCACACAGAGTCCCATAGACTTACACAGAGTCCCATAGACTCACACAGAGACCCACAGACTCACACAGAGACCCATAGACTCACACAGAGACCCATAGACTCACACAGAGACCCACGGACTCACACAGAGACCCACAGACTCACACAGAGACCCACAGACTCACACAGAGACCCACGGACTCACACAGAGACCCATAGACTCCCACAGAGACCCATAGACTCACACAGAGACCCATAGACTCACACAGAGTCCCATAGACTTACACAGAGTCCCATAGACTTACACAGAGTCCCATAGACTTACACAGAGACCCAAAGAGTCAGAGTCCCATAGACTCACACAGAGGCCCATAGACTCACACAGAGACACATAGACTCACACAGAGACCCATAGACTCACACAGAGACCCATAGACTCACACAGAGTCCCATAGACTTACACAGAGTCCCATAGACTCACACAGAGACCCACAGACTCACACAGAGACCCATAGACTCACACAGAGACCCATAGACTCACACAGAGACCCACGGACTCACACAGAGACCCACAGACTCACACAGAGACCCACAGACTCACACAGAGACCCACGGACTCACACAGAGACCCATAGACTCCCACAGAGACCCATAGACTCCCACAGAGACCCATAGACTCACACAGAGACCCATAGACTCCCACAGAGACCCATAGACTCCCACAGAGACCCATAGACTCACACAGAGTCCCATAGACTTACACAGAGACCCATAGACTCACACAGAGGCCCATAGACTCACACAGAGTCCCATAGACTTACACAGAGTCCCATAGACTCACACAGAGACCCACATACTCACACAGAGACCCATAGACTCACACAGAGACCCATAGACTCACACAGAGACCCACGGACTCACACAGAGACCCACAGACTCACACAGAGACCCACAGACTCACACAGAGACCCACGGACTCACACAGAGACCCATAGACTCCCACAGAGACCCATAGACTCCCACAGAGACCCATAGACTCACACAGAGACCCATAGACTCCCACAGAGACCCATAGACTCCCACAGAGACCCATAGACTCACACAGAGTCCCATAGACTTACACAGAGACCCAAAGAGTCAGAGTCCCATAGACTCACACAGAGACCCATAGACTCACACAAAGGCCCATAGACTCACACAGAGACACATAGACTCACACAGAGGCCCATAGACTCACACAGAGACCCATAGACTCACACAGAGACACATAGACTCACACAGAGACACATAGACTCACACAGAGACCCATAGACTCACACAGAGACACATAGACTCACACAGAGACCCATAGACTCACACAGAGACCCACAGACTCACACAGAGACCCACAGACTCACACAGAGACCCATAGACTCACACAGAGACACATAGACTCACACAGAGGCCCATAGACTCACACAGAGACACATAGACTCACACAGAGTCCCGTAGACTTACACAGAGTCCCATAGACTTACACAGAGACCCAAAAAGTCAGAGTCCCATAGACTCACACAGAGGCCCATAGACTCACACAGAGACTCATAGACTCACACAGAGACCCATAGACTCACACAGAGACCCATAGACTCACACAGAGACCCATAGACTCACACAGAGACCCATAGACTCAAACAAAGACCCATAGTTTGAGTTGTCCTTCCCCCGCACCTCCGATTAACGCGGTTGGCTACGTACGGTGCGAAAGAAATTCAACACACACACACATACATATCCCGGTGTCACCAGTGGGGAGCGGTGGCGCTGCGGTTAGCGCACTGCGCTCATAACCCTGTTCCAACTGACTTCAAGTCTCGAGCACGGCTAACATCAGTGGCAAAGGGGATAATCTGAGCCAGACATGGGGCGTACCCCTCGGCTCGACGATGGGGACGTTGGGTGCTTTGCTGGCCTTAATAGGCGCTCGCAGACTTTCACTTTTCCGAGCAGTCTATGGGTGTCTCTTTAGGGGGTGGATTTTTTGTCTTTTGTTTATCTGAGAGAAAAAAAAAACATCCGGTAAACAAAGAGAAACACAAATATACACAGGCACACACAGGCACACGGACAAAGACCCCCCGTGTAGCCTTGACAGACTGTAGGGGCAAGTGCTGTTAGCGAGTAGCACCTATAACGGCCGGCACGGCACACGAGGAGGTGGGTGGCCAGCACCACGCCCGACCGCCTTTGTCTCCCCAGTGGCGATGATTACTACACACCGCACCGGGTACTCAATTGAGGCTGAGTCGACCTAGGGGAGGCCCAGGACCGGTGCAGATAATCGTCACCACTGGTGTTGGCCGTGAGCGGGAATCGAACCCGGGTCGCCAGGTTCATAGCGCAGCGTAGCGCTAACCAGTGTACCACCGCTCCTCACACACACGCAGAGACACACGCACTCACACACAGACACGCACAAAAGCACACACACAGAGACACACACACGCACACACTGACACGCACACAGAGACACACACACACACTGACACACACACACTGACACGCACACAAAGCACACACACACACAGAGACATACACACGCACACACTGACACACACACAGAGACACACACACACTGACACGCACACAAGCACACACACACACAGAGACACACACACACACGGATACGCACACAAGCACACACACACTGACACGCACACAAGCACACACACACAGAGACACACACACACACTGACACGCACACAAGCACACACACACACAGAGACACACACACACTGACACGCACACCAGCACACACACACACAGAGACACACACACACACTGACACGCACACAAACACACACACAGACACACACACGCACACACTGACACACACATAGAGACACACACACACTGCCACGCACACAAGCACACACACACATATAAGGAAGACTCAGTCACTTTAACCGAGTGGTCATGTACGCGTGCAAGCATGGTCAAGCACATGCAAAGCCAAAGAGCCCCCGTATAGCCTTCCAAGTCGCATTGAGGGCAAGTGCTGTTCGCGAGCACCTATGAAGGCCTGCAAACACACACACACACACAAGCATCACGTACAGCAACAACGCTGTCATTCATCACCGTGCGTGTGCCAGGCTAGGTGCACTTTGAGGCTAGCTATCTGGAACAAGTC